TGAAGTGTACTTAATTGTTATAATTAAAGAAGTGGATTAACAAACTTGTGTACTTATTTCGAAATTGGTGAATGCAATAGGGTACGAACCCCACATTGATTGTCAGCAATGCTCTTTATTTTAATGAGAAAAAGTACCTTCATGGTGAATGAAACGCTTGACTTTTAGGTATTATGCATACATACATATGTACATATATATTACAAAAATTCCCAAAACGCCTTGCAAATTTTCAAATATCAAAATCGTTTAATAATTCTACAGGAGATGCTGGATATGCCCTAGAACCATGGTTAATGACGCCATTCCGTACCCCTCTCTCAGGAAGGCCAAAGAGAAATATAATAATAATATAGAACAAAGCTGTTTTTAAAAATCGATTTAGATGTCTTCTGGGTACTCATGAGTTTCCCTACGAGCCGTGGAAGGCACGTTTGCATTCGGATTTCGGAACGAAATATTTTTACAGGAAATAATGAACTTTATCATTAACTTATAATGAAGCAGCTTCAAAAATCAGAGAAGCTATTTATGCAACACTTACTCGAATATAATATCCTAAATATATATTAACATAAAATATTTATACAGTTTTAATTAAGTATTTATTTAACTAATTATTTTTTGATATGGCTTCTAATTTTTTCCCCTCCACTTCTAACATTTGCTGCTTTATGGAATTCTTAGCAGCTATCAAATTCTCAATACCTATGTCAGGAATAAAGGGATGTTCAACTTATTCCAGTGTGAGAGCGCCTCAAAATAAGCGTTTTTTATAACATTTTCCATTATGGCCAGATCGAACAAAATAAGAATTTTTGGGCATTTTAAATTAAAACACCCAACATTTAGTACGAATAAAAATTACTATTATATATAGTGGTTATTTATTATGTGGAGAAACAATTTAAATCTTTAAAGTATATTAGAACAACTGACTTTTGACCTTTGAATATCCAATACAAGAATTTAAGCTTGTTAGCTTTCCATCATTAAATGTTTTTAATCATTTTCCCTATACATGTATCCGGGGGCCTAGGAGTATGTGTAGGCAGTGCTGGGCTAGAGGTCACTGATGGCATTGATATGGCAGCCTCTCTCTCATTGTCCACGTCGGCTACCATGGGTAAGCCCATGCTTACTAAATATTCACTATAAATTCGTCTCTAATGCCGTTAGTGTTATCACCGCTTCCTCCAATTCATTGAAAATGTGATGCTTATATCTGCCGTCACCAATAGCTGACTGCTTCTTTATATTTTCCACCAATTTTCTTTTTATGTAGGTCAAAAAAGTTTTAAATTATCCTGTTAAAACAATAAATACTACGACTTTATTATAGTACCTTCTTCCCCCTGGAAATATCCTTGATAAGCGGACCAACACTGTTCAGTTCCTGAGCCATATTATTCCAAAAAGCTGCTGCTTCTTCTTTACGGCACTTGGTAAAATTCTGCGCCATTTCAGGTTTTTGCTGTAAAAGCTCAACCATTAGTGCATATAGCTGCATGGTGGTAATTACTTTAGACCTACGGAAATCGCATTCATGATTATTTTACTCGTAATAGATATTTTATAGTTCGAATTCAATAAGAACTTACATTTTTTTTTAAATTTATTTCGCCCGTAGAAAAACCTATCGTATAAAAATTCCGATAAAATTCAAAATTTAAAGTTTTTAGTGCATTCAGTGAATGCAACTTCACGAGTTTCGAACTCGAGTTCGAAATTGTTCAAATTGCATGATAGCAATTTCATAGTGAAAAAAAGTGATAGGCCTTATTAAGTCAGTGAGTAGAGTCACATTCCATTTACCTCCTACGACTAAATACTTTTGGCAATGTGATGGTAATAAAATGATGAATCTTCGGCGTATTAAGTATTGGGTTCTTTACTATAATTCTTGTAAAAATAAAAGCAATAAGATTGCCTTCAGTTTCATCCCAGACAGATTTATGAGTAATGACGTTATATATGGTAAAATTATGAACTTCAAGTTTCATTTTGTAATGGGATGTATTTCCTTTTGACTGCGGAGTAAGCTCAACCGCTTGCATGTCCACACGTAATAAAGAGCATAAGCCCGCTTTACCATTTTCATTGTAATTATTTTTTTTCTCTCTCATTCCTCCATTTCTTTTCTGTGGACATCATATTGTTCTACTGCGATATTTTTTTATTAAACCGATATGAAGATGCATATCATTTCTAGGTTTAAAAATCGAAAAATTAATTTTATTTAAGATTTTCATGAAATTTGGGAAAGATATCGAAGATCTCTTTTTATTTCATCCATAAATAATAAACGTCATACACATTTGCATACGATATAAATTGAAAATACAATTTTTTTGTGTACTGATGTCGGTAGTGGGATTCGAGTTCCTGGATGGCTTCCAACCATTCAATAATTAAATATCTTGATAGATTTTTTTCCGCTCTGTATTCAACCTGCAAATTTTTTTTATTTTCCAAGCCCAACTAAGTGCTATAAAGTTCACTGGAACTCAAGAAACTTCTTATAGCAGAAACAGGCAAAAATGCTACTCCCTTACGTCCATTTCCTTCCTTAGCGAGCAAAATGTGTCAAAAGTATGGCCCTTGGTAAAAACGCAGAAATAAGCCATCTTTGTTTGTTTTCATTTGAACAATGTTGCCATTGCTCAATACGCATATATAGTTTTGTACACATCTAAGTTTTCAATTACAAAACAAAGTATTAAAAATAGTTTATATATTTATAAATAATAGCATTCGACACTGAATTTGAGTTATTTTAAGAAAATTTCAAACATATTGAAGACAACTTTTATAATTACTACAGTATATCGAGATTGGCAACCCTGCGTTGTGAGAGAGCAAACAGCTGACACGTTTCTACGGCAAAAACCAAATGCCGTGGTTTCCCACGGCATCCTACGTCAAAGAGAGAAGGGAGTAACGTTTCTCACTGTTCACTTACATTGCGCATTGAGTTGACACGGGCCACGCTTCTATGTTTTTGGCTTTTTCTGCTATTACCATAGTTTCCGAAATACCAAGGGTTGACAAAAACATTTTACTGCACACTGACGGCCTCTTTTGTGATGCAAAAAATATGTTTTTGAATATGAACGTCGGGAACTTTTACTTAAATCCGCGTTGTAACATGAACTTCAGTACTGCGAATTACTTAAGTCTTTATTTTTCCCCATGATATTAACCAAAAATGTGCAAATATCTTCTTTCGCATCTTTAAACATTTTGCACAATACTTAGATGTACATGCAGCTTTTATTTCTCGTGATTTCCTTTTGATAACCCGTCATATTTTTTGCCATATATTCGTTTTTTTATTTACTTCTCTTTTGTTAATATTTTTACAACATTGCAAATTTTCATTACACTTTTCAAGATATTTAATTATGTAACACAGGGGATGATCGAGCAAGCAAATAACTGCGGCAATATTGCAACCCTGAGGTTTTTTTGCAGATGCTCAGCTGATACTTATGCATATATTTTGCGCGGCATGCAAGTGAATTGAACAAGTGAAGGGAAAAAGTTTCAAAAATGAATTTTTTAATAAATTTAACAGTTGATAACATGGTGGAGAGTGAGAGTACTTTACTTTTGAAATATAAAAAAAAAAGGAAAGAAAGTTTTGCGCGTAAAAAGAAATGGCTTTTGACTGAAATTTTAAAAATGAGGACGATAGTGAAATCGCAAAACTTCTTCAAGACAATTCCATTTTATCCTCCGGACATATATTTGTCACATTTTCGGATGTCTCGTGAAACATTTGCGGTAAGTTTTCTGATTTAAATAATCTCCTAAATAAACACATATATATGTATATACTTCGTAGGAATTAAAGAGCGCCTTGGAGCCTTTTTGGATAACGTCACGAGGGGAATATTCAATGGATCAGGCCTTGCATATTACCTTGTGAAAGCTTAGTAACAGCAGAGTCCCTTATCGTGAATTATCAAATAAATTTGATGTTTCAAAAGGGAATGCCCACAAAATTTTCTTAAAACGATCAATGCAATCTGTAAGTTGAAGAATGAAATATGTTGGCCATCAATTTCCCAACAGCAAACAATAATGGAGCGTTTCCAAGCGAGCCGGCCGAATGCATTTCCTTTCGTAGTCGGCTGTTTGGATGGGACACATTTTAAAATAAACACACCGAAGAAGGATGCAATTACTACTGACTGAACTATGACTGAATTACTATGACCGAAAGGGGAACTATTCCATTATTATGCAGGTATGTATATATGGTGATGGTTAAGCTAGAACTATTTTAAAAATATAAAACATTTGCAATGTTTAGGGCATATGCGACAGCACATTTCGTTTCTTGGATGTTTTTATCGGCTACCCAGGGAGCTGCCATGACGCCAACGTATGGAAAAATAGTCCGATATACAAAGGAAAATCGTCTGGAGAGATACAACTTGCAAAAGATGCTATAATTTTAGCTGACTCAGCTTATCCTCTTTCAAAATATTTGATCGCGCCTTATAGAGATAATGGACATCTGTTGAGAGAGGAGAAGCAATTTAATTATTATTTAAGTTCAACTCGGGTATTAATAGAACAAGCTTTTGGGATTTTGAGGGGAAAGTTCAAAATTTTAAATCATATTGATATTCAAAATATGGAAGAGGTATCAAAAGTTGTATTAGCTTGTGTAATTTTGCATAATTAAATTTCGAAGCATTTAATGAAAACGATGCTGAAATGCATGAAAACATAAATGATACTAACGAAGGTATTATCAAAAGAAATAATTTAAAAATGTTGTTTGTTTCTTAAATTTTTTATTTTTTAAATAAAAATGTTAGTAAATAAATATATGTACATGTGATATTTTATTTCATTTCAACTACTTCAAGTACAGGTCACAACAGTAATAAAAAATTATAATTAGAATCAGGTTTACATTGTTTAAATTTTTTTTTTTACTTTTCGGTTAACTTTTCTAAAGTTTCCCGCAGCTTCATCATTACGTTTAATTTTTCTTTTTCAAAAGTCAATTTTTCTTTTTCAAATTGTAGCACTTCTTCATGACGTGCTTGTTCGTTTAGAGCCTCATTCTTTAAAAATTCCAATGCTTCAATGGCGGCAGTCTTTGGACGCTTTCGTCGTTCGTTTACGAGTTGACCCTCGTAAGAGTCGTCAGTCTTCTCGTCCCCACTCCATTCGCATACTTCGGCGCTATCTACTATGGAGCCTTGAAGGTTTTTGGCTGGCGGTTGTATGGAATGCCGCCTACCGTACACCTCGTCGAACTCTTCAAAGAACTCCCAGCTTGTTGGCTCTCTCCCAGTCTGCCCATTTCGTTTCTTTATTCGTTTGTATGTCGCAAATAAATTTAAAAACTTTCTTTGCATAAGGTCCTTTGATTGCGGAACATCCGTATTGACCAAGCTCATTTTGTTGACCACTTTTGCCCATAATACCGACTTTTTACGTTTCCYCGCAGAAAATTCGTGCTCCATTTCGAGCCGGCATCTCACGAGGAGCTTGGTAAAATTGTGACATAGCTTCGGGCTGKAAATGATATTTAAAATAAAAAATAATATAATATTATTCATTAGTACACATAATTAATAATAATAATTAGTTATAAACAAAAATAAAGAGCGATTTCGCTTACCTCATTTCCTCCATCACGAATTTTGTTGATGCCGATTTTGTCACTTTTGCGCGCACGAAATGTCAATATTTGAGTTGTTCGAACGCTTGACATTTGCAAAAGTTGCCACATTTTTGCTTTGCAATATTGCCGCAGTGAATGAGACTCGAACATCCCCACATTTTATTATTTCACTACACTTTTCCTTTTTTACATGTGTTATAATTTTCAGTGTAAAAACCAATTAAATTTAAACCACCAAAGAACTATGAACATAACCAATAAAAAAAAAAATAAAAAAAAAATACTACGTTATTCTTACATGACATATTTTGTTTAACGGAATCATGCGCTTGATGTTACGTTTTTTTACTTTTTAATATAACTTAGGCATTTTTGATCGTATAAGCTTAATATTTTTGATGCATACATATGTGGTATGATGTAGTAAATCATAATCAATAAAAAACTCAATTTCGATTTTTTTTGATAATACGTTATTTAGCATTTTAGTTGACGATATATACTTTGCAATCACGAACTTCAGTTTAAACTCAGAGAATTTATATGAATAATTGATCTTTTCTGAATGAACGCATATTGTAAAGCATTTAAATCTACATATGTAACTATTAAAAGTACCAAAAATTATTTCAGACGAAAAAAGTCCATGTACACCTCCATAAGCTACACGCCCAAAGCAAAGTGCTACAAAACAAAAAAGTGTGAAAGACATCACCTGCTAGATTTATTGCTGAGAGTTTAATAATATACTGCACTCGATTTTCATCACAAGTTCCACCGTTATCACAAGCTACTTACTGGTTGCCAAAGCAAAAGTGTCAGTGCTGACAAACCTGCTGACAAACCTACCTAGGTACATACCTCAGAACCTTTACACTACCCCCATTTGGTGGAATGACCCCCGATGGTTAACAGAATCTCTCGATTCGTCTCTTTTCACACAAGATTAGATGATCTTGACATTCTTCAGCGATTTTCATCGTACCTCCGATCCCTCAGGATAATCGCTTACATCTGCTTAGAGCGACTCAAAATTAGAGTTAAGGGTGTACCCACAGTATACGTCAAAGGCGATACAGTGATGCACCTAAAGCATCAAGCAGACAAAAGCAGTGCCACTCAAGCTATGAACTAATCTTACAAAAAAGAGTTTTTATCGCGGCACTTACTCACTTCGTCGTACGAGGCGGTTTTCCGTCGAAACTCATGAGCGACAATGACAAAACAGCAACTCGAAGATGCACAGAAAACCATTAGGGGGGTTTTATCAAGCAAGTTTCACTTGAAATTGTATAAAAGTACAATCACCAACGTATTAACTGGCAATTTATTCCCCTAAGCGCTCTACATATGGTTTTGGAAATCAGTTGTAAAAAGCTTTTCCATACAGGTACATATTCATAAACTACTCCAATCCCAATGCCAACACAAAAAAAAAAGAAAAGATTTCGGAGTGATTGCAGCACGTAAGTGGATGTGTTAACATATGTGGTCCTTCGAAAAATGAGAAAGGACTCAGACTTTTATCTTGCCAATACTGTCAACTCGGCACCATATCTTCAGGAATGTTTTCTACCACTATAACAGCAACAAATTCAAATTCAACTGTACCTAAGGAGCGTGAAATGCCGTTCCACAGTTTCCTTAAACCGAGTTGTTGACGAGTACTCTCAGAGAGCAGAATTGAAAATCGAGTAAAAAATCATTCGTCTGTCTGCTGTGATTGCAACTTCTCGACGACGAACCTTCCTTGTCTTTGTTGCCGTGCGTTTTTTGTTGCACCGAGGCGGGTGCGTATCTTCACTGCAAGAATATAGTCGTTTAAGTCGACGTTAAGACCTCGGAGCATAATCACTTCTAAAACACTAGAAACGTGTCTTCCGTCTACCATAAAATGATCAATTTGGTTGGTGGACTTTCGCTACAGAGAAATCCAGGTTGCTTGTACAGCTCATTTGACGCTGTTTCCTGGTGGACGCCGAATTAACCGACTCTTGTATAATTTTGACATCGTGGTGGAGCAGCTCTCGTAGATGCGGTCTAAGCGCTCATCTTCCGTCGGTGGTGAGCGCAATAAGTTGAAGAACTTCGCTTTGGTACGGACGGTGGCTAAACGTTCATACACCGGGATGAATGACAGTACTCAGCGAGTCTTGCGTGCAATGAGTCTCCGCATGACTCTGACTACCTCTTTGCACATCCCACCAACCCCACTCATCTGACAAGTCGTTCCCTTTGGTTCTACCCGTCGAAACAACGTTTGCTGGACCTCACGTTAGATTCCGTCGACGACAACTTAAATAATTCTCACCACCCTAGCGGGGATTAGATATTCCGTAAAAACCGTGTCAGCTCGCGCGCAAGGCAGCGGAAGTAGCAACCGTGGCCCGGGCAGTGCCCTCGGACATAGATCACGCCGCACCAGCTCCCCACCGGAAGGAGGAGGGGCAGCGCAGATATGCGGATGCTGTTAAAGGCATCCGCATGGCTGTACTGAAACAAATCTACCCGGCTAATATCAGAATAGCTTACCCTGCTCCAGGACCTCCTCTTGGAAGAGGTATTCAGATGGAATGAATACGCGGCGTCCTTCCTTGGAGTGGAATTCAAAGGAGGTATGCTGCAAGTGTACTGTAAAGACGAGACGTCCGCCAACTGGCTGCGGGAGTTCACGCCAAAGCTGGATGGCTGGAAGGGTCCTGTCCTCTGCGCAAGGAGGGCGGAAGATTTTCTTACCATGCATAGCATGACAATGTTTCTCCCCCGATGTGGAGGCAAGCCCTATGAGTTCGACCTAGGGCTCAGAACCTGTGCCTCAGCATTTCGTCCTGGCGCGTCCTCAGCAGCAAGGTGGAGGAAATAGGAGACATGAAATTTTTGAGACTGTACTTTTTCATTGACGACGAGTCGTACAAGTACGTCCGGGCAGCGAGCTTCCGCCTGTACTACAGGTTCAGCACGGTGGTCATGCGGTCCCACAAGCAGGGGTATCAAAAACAGGCAGTGACTGTGGCAGCCCCGAAGGTAGTAGAAATACACGTGGCGAACCAGCCCAGCGGAAGCAGGACCACCGACGACCACCGACGTCCCCGATCTCAGTTCCTACGGTCAAAGAGCAGAGCTACACTCCACGCAGGAACTCCTCGATGGACGGCGGGGAAGAGGATCTGCCCTTCCCTGAACCTATACTGTAATGGCCGTCAATACGGAAATTGCACAGGTGAACCTAAGAAACTGGGCATACTGCTGATCTAAGAGCCTTGAGCCCACAGAGGAGTAGTAAAAGACCTGAGGACGGACTCAAATAAGGTAATCTGGGATCTCTCTAGCGACCTAGAACTTGCATAGTTATCACGAATAACATTAAATTCTTCTGCATTTCAGAGTTCCAGAGACTTCGACCTGGCTTCAGCAACCTTCCCCGGGGGGGACATCCACGGCACCCCCGGAGGTGGTGGAAAGGCTGGTGGAGCATTGTAGAAGGCACAGGCTTCCCCCTAACCATTGGCTGTGACGCAAACGACTACTACTTGGAATGGGCAGTACCAACTGCAACGTAAGAGGTGAGTCTCTTTTAGAGTACATAGTAGGTAGTAACTTAGCGGTAGAGAATATCGGTGGAGCCCTCCTTGTCAGACCACAGGATTGTAAGGTTCACGCTAAAGGTAGAGTTCAGACAACTAACCCCTAGACGCAACCCTCGGAAGGCGAGGTAAGTGGGGAATTGAGCAGGACGGGGTTGACGGATAATAGCGTTTAAGGCCCAGGTTTGGAGATTAGGCCGTGTTAGCTCAACTGGTCTGTTATTTACGCTTATCATGGCAGTTACCTCCTAAAAGTGCCCACAGACTGATGAAACTGTCCCTGCTGGTCAAGGAAACTAGCAGACCTCCGGAAAAAAGTACGTAGCCTATTTAACAAAGCAAAACGTACGGGGGTCTAGGCAGAACACATAGCATAAGGCTCTGGCCAGAGGCACAAATGACGCAGAAATAGCAATTAAAAGAGGACATTTACTACCAGCGCAGAGGACAGAGCGCACTTCCCGGAGACAGTTCGGGAAGACCAATGTCTACTCGTGATTGAACACAGGCCATCCCGCGAGGATTGAAAATCGCCACACAGCTATCTTCGGCGGACTCGATCAGGTGGGCAACGGCCTCGTTTGAGAGATTGAAGTCTCCGGAAGTGGATGGCATCTTTCCAGCGCTGTTACAACAGGGGGAGCAGTTTTTACTGCCTCACCTTGTGTCGGCTACTGAGAGAAAGTCTCGAAACGAAATGTGGCAGCACCGGTGCGTAGATGGATAGAAGCCGTAGTGCGCACCAGAGCCCACAGGGTTATGTGTTATCACGCCTGCTGTGGAGACTCCAAAACGACCGGAATCTCAAACCTCGGGGCATAGAAATAGGGATGTCCAACAATGTCAAATACCTCGGTTTGATGCTAGATTCTACTCTGCGGTGCAGCAGCATGTAAACCTTTCCTTCAAAGTCCTGGGGCTGTAAGCCAAGGATCGTTAGGTGGCTGTACACCATGATAGTGCGACCAATAATCACGTACGGAGGGGTGGCCTGGGCCTCAATAGCGTCGCAAACTTCGGTAAAGACCAACCTATTGAAGCTACAGCGGCTAGCCTGTGTCTGCATTACGGGCGCAATGTGCACTTGTTCAACGGCAGCACTCTAGGTTCTGATTGAACTTACTCCGCTTCATTTGGTTATCAGTCAGGTAACCAAGCACACACTTCTGCAAGTAATTGCAACAATCTCGAACTGATTTTGAGGAATAGCACGTTGAGGTGGTACACCAATGGCTCAAAAATGTCGGAAGGAATCGGTGCGGGTATCGTGGGCCCACGCACTAAGCTCTCCATACCCATGGGAGAGTTCCCGAGCATTTTCCAGGCAGAAGTTTTTCCTATAAGTCGGTGTATAGAAATAAACTTCCATCGAAATTATCGCAATGAGCGAATAGCCATTCTCAGCTATAGTCAAGCGACGCTAAAAACGATCTCCTCTTACGACATCAAATCGCTATTAGTGCAGGAGTGCAGGGAAAGGCTGAACAGTCTTGCGGAAAGTAACCTGGTACACCTAATCTGGGTGCCTGGTCACAGAGGTATAGCCGGTAATAACTGGCGGACGAGCTTGCCCGGTCCGCAGCCTCCCCAAAGATGGTAGGACCCGAACCC